TTGCAAATAGTTTTATTCATAATTAACATAGACTGAAAGGTATGTAACACTAGAAACTAAAAAAAGTGTACTACACGGTAATTTCACAGGGTCATTTATAGAAAATACTCATGAGTGCCATCAGAACTGTCACTGGATGTAAGAAATATATTCCTATGTAGGATACAATATCCTAATATACCAGGACCAAGATACAGTTCTTTGTATTTGTCTCTTTCTGAAGAGACATTATTTCCCAGTACCACAGAAAAGTAGACAGTAGGACTTATGCTAAGTTAAAGTTAACTTCAGTTATGCTAAGATAAGTTTGAATTAAACTCAATGTCATTTTCTTTCAGTAGAAAGAACTCTATCATGCTGACTTTCTGAATCTTCAATCATTCCAGGCATATTAGATGTAGATGGATCCAAGCCCTAGTGAAGTATTTTGATTGTCTTGCCCGCTTCTCCACAAATGCAGTAGAATTTCAGTTCAGCAACTTGTTCAACAGCAGTGACAACGATGCTAAACAGGAAGCAGTGAAGACACTGGCTTTGCTGATGGTGCTGGAGCTGGTAATTGCTAATTGAGATATAAGAACAGAGGACAGAGGAAAAAGACTTAATGGTAAACGGTGGCAGAGTTTCACATTTCTGGCTTTTTTTCCCTATAACAGTCTATAAAAGCTAAATTGGATGCCCACAAGTAGGCTGCCCCTTTGCTGTGACCCCCCCCCCAGGCTTGCTCTCACCTGTATGGACAGCAAGGTGGGGCAAAGCAAAAAAGATTTCCTCAAAGGAATGAATAAAATATAACTATTCTATTCTATTCTCTGGGATAATTAGATACGCCAAAACACCAGAAACATTAGCATATAAGATGCATTAAAATAAACAACTTGATATTAAATAACTTTGTGTTTTAAGTTGTTTGATCATTTTACATGATTATTTTTGCTTGCATCAAAACACAATTATCAAAAATCAATCCATACTGTCAGGGTACTTTTAAAGTATTACCTACCTGTACCATTAACTTGAATGCTGCTGGCGTTAATGTTTAGTCCAGGTAGTTCTGAATTTAACACTGCTTTTATCAATGTTTGTCCTGTTTCTTGACCGCTGGGTACAGTTCCATTAGAAGCATCGAATTGCAGTTGCACCCCAGTTATAATTGATCCAGCCCTTCAGACAAAGAATGAAGCCCAAATTAGCATGTGCTTCAAAAGGTTTGAAGACTCACACTCACATACATCACACTCCATGTCTTTCTCCCACACACAAATGATTTTAAGAATTTAACTTTGTTACCTGAAATATAACACGATCAACCTCAAGAAAGACCTGAAAGCTCTCCTAAAAATGGGCTCCATCTACAGAGAAATGAAACACCCAATAAGTTTATGTTAATATTTTTGCATCCAGAAAAATGAGCATTTCAGCTGTTAGTCATAATTTTCTATAATATACAGATCAATATACAGTGTTTACCACAAATACAAATTGGTGTTGCATGTTGATCAGTGAAATGTGGCAAAACCCACCATTGTGTGTTTAATGTAAGTATTTCAATATACAATTTTTAAACCGAGATTTGAAAATACTGGTAATTTGTGTGACGGACAAATTTTATTCTACAATGTCAAATAGAATCTGGAAAAGTATTTTTAAATTGGAAAATGATTAAATGTTTTGGATATATAGGACTTATTATCCAGGATAAGTGTTGTTAATTGCAGACAAGCGTGAATTCAAATAAAGAAAGGCTGTCTGTCTGTACTACTTTCACGGAAATGTAAGTGGATTTTCTGTGTAACCTCTTTGGGATTTTGTACACTATGATCAAGTTAGTGATTTAAAAGAAAATAACGTGAGATTTTATACTAATCATTTCATACTAGGAAGCATTATTATTTCTTCTTATTAAACAAAGATCTTACAGAATGATTTAAGAAATACTCCATAAATGATACTGGGAATAATTCTTACCAGTGTCGTGATCAGATTTACTCTATTGATGTAAGTCTGTGAGGTGGGATCCAAAAGTGCAGGGACAAATGTGTCAGTGGAGGAAAACTGCATCTCTACAATGACGATGACAGCAGCAGAAGTCGTTGTGGTTGTAGGGAGTTTTGTGGTCTTAATGGTGGTAGAGATTGTTGTACTTGTTGTTTTGGTTGTTTTTGGAGTGGTTGTTGTTCTTCGAGTGGTTGTGGAGGTTGTACTTGTTTTTGGAGTTGTTGGAATTGTTGTTGTGGTTTTCGTTGTTATTGTAGTCGGGGTGGATTTTGTTGTTGGAGTGGTTGTTGGAATTGGAGTGGGTTTTGTTGTTGGTGTAGTTATTATGATTGTTGTGGTTGGAGGGGTTATTATAGTTGGAGTGGTGGCAGTGGTGACAGCAGCAGATGTATTGCTGACTTTTGTGGTGGAAGTGGTGACAGAAACTGATGAAGTGATGGCTGCAGTGATGGCAGTGGTGACAGCAAAATGGGTATCGTTGGCTGTGGTAGCAAAGGTGACAGAATTATGTGTGCTGTTGGCTGTAGTGGTGGCAGAGGCAGTGGTGGCTGTAGTGGTGGCAGAGG